ACCTGGGCTCTGTCAAACAGCCTGCCGCTAATTAGATGTGACTTCAGGGAAGAATATTGGCGCTATCTGTGAACTGAGACAATCGTTTTTTTCACCTCTTGTTTTTGTCAGACCCGACAGTCAGAAAATCTTAATTATCTACATTGAAAATGTCCCCACTTTGTTATCATGGGTTTCCAATTTTAATAGGTCAGAATCTGTATATAGTTCCACCGGTCACTCCCCTCAACCCAAAAAGACACTTTTCTCCGATAAAAAAATTTCGTTTCTATTGTTCTAAAAAGAATTTCCCTTTTCTCCAATTTGACAATGAGTCTTTCACGCAAAAGTAGGCTAGGTGCTTTGACCGATTTTCTTATCAATTGCCAAAACACTGTTTCAAGCCCGGTTCTTTTTTCTCCTCTTAATGATTTTTCATTTCAAATAACAATTCTCTATTGTCCTTTAAAATTCGGCCCACGCAGGCCAAGATATCTTTCTGACACTTATCTTCGCTTATGACTGGGTCATGCATCATCCAACTCTCTTTCTTTCTTTTTTTTCTTTTTCTCCTTTTTTTTCTTTTTCTTTTAGGATCGTCTAAGTACAATCTTAGTGAATTATTTTCAACTCAATTATTTTCCGTTAAAAAAATCAACAACCTGTTTAGTAAACCGAGTAAAAAAAAATTAAATCATATTTCTATGAATATTTCTAATAATGCAAGGTGCCACACATCTATCGACGCCCCCCTCCCCCAAATATTCCGTCTACACAATTTCATTGACAAGGCTTCGGTCAAACAGTGGTATGGTTTTCGAGAAATTTCCAAAGGTGGCGCACGCTGGGACCGTCTCACCTCCAGACCGATAACATCAGGAAATCAAATCGATCAGAAGAGACTTGAAGCAACAGAAACAAAGAAAAGAGTACTGAACTGTTACGTAAGATCAGTCCTCCTATATGGCAGTGAATGCTGGACAATCTCCTCACAGATGAAGAAGAGACTTGAAGCAACAGAAACAAAGAAAAGAGTACTGAACTGTTACGTAATATCAGTCCTCCAATATGGCAGTGAATGCTGGACAATCTCCTCACAGATGAAGAAGAGACTTGAAGCAATAGAAACAAAGAAAAGATTACTGAACTGTTACGTAAGATCAGTCCTCCTATATGGCAGTGAATGCTGAATAATCTCCTCACAGATGAAGAAGAGACTTGAAGCAAGAGAAAAAAAGAAAAGAGTACTGAACTGTTAGTAATATCAGTCTTCCTATATGGCATTTAGTGCTGGACAATCTCCTCACAGATGAAGAAGAGACTTGAAGCAACAGAAACAAAGAAAAGAGTACTGAACTGTTACATAATATCAGTCCTTCTATATGGCAGTGAATGCTGGACAATCTCCTCACAGATGAAGAAGAGACTTGAAGCAAGAGAAACAAAGAAAAGAGTACTGAACTGTTACGTAATATCAGTCCTCCTATATGGCAGTGAATGCTGGACAATCTCCTCACAGATGAAGAAGAGACTTGAAGCAAGAGAAACAAAGAAAAGAGTACTGAACTGTTACATAATATCAGTCCTTCTATATGGCAGTGAATGCTGGACAATCTCCTCACAGATGAAGAAGAGACTTGAAGCAACAGAAACAAAGAAAAGAGTACTGAACTGTTACATAATATCAGTCCTCCTATATGGCAGTGAATGCTGGACAATCTCCTCGCAGATGAAATGACTTGAAGCAACTCCAATATTCTACAGAAGGATACTGAGAACATTTGGACTAAACATGTGAGCAACGACGAAGTTTTTCGGAAAATGGAAACAAAAAGGACACTTATAAAGAGTCAGTTGAAATTTCCCAACATATTATGAGGAAAGAAGGCTTGGAAACTTTGACGCTCACAGGACATGCATAACTAACCTAACGAGTGTAAATATTTGGGAAAACAAAGAATAGGACAGATAGCGGAAAGACAAAACTTTACTCCGAGCTTTAAAGGAAACTGTGAAGAGCCATGATCGTCCACGTACAGAAGGGACACGGCACAAGATAAGATAGAGCTGAAAAACACAAGCATCGCGCTGTTAATTATGGTAGCCGAGAATGAGTTGAAAAAATCCTTTTATGGCGTTATATGCTACTTAACTAAAATTGTCGGCGAAGTAGGAAACTGGACTGATTTGGATTAAGTACGACAGAATGATTAAATAAAGAATAAATAGGTAAACACTATTTATACTATTATGTACACTATTTACATTATTCAGACTATTGTCCTCATCTTTGTCGCCATATTTATCACAACGTTTCAGCCTTTCAGTATCTAATATTTCTGAGATGAGGTATTATGTACACTATTTTTATTATTCGGACTATATTTTTATATTATGTACACTATTTATATTATTCGGACTATTGTCCTCATCTTTGTCGCCATATTTATCACAACGTTTCAGCCTTTCAGTATCTAATATTTCTGAGATGAGGTATTATGTACACTATTTATATTATTCGAACTATTTATATTCGGACTATATTTTTATATTATGTACACTATTTATATTATTCGGACTATTGTCCTCATCTTTGTCATATATTTATCACAACGTTTCAGCCTTTCAGTATCTAATATTTCTGAGATGAGGTATTATGTACACTATTTATATTATTCGGACTATTTATATTATTCGGACTATATTTTTATATTATGTACACTATTTATATTATTCGGACTATTGTCCTCATCTTTGTCGCCATACTTATCACAACGTTTCAGGCTTTCAGTATCTAATATTTCTGAGATGAGGTATTATGTACACTATTTATATTATTCGGACTATATTTTTATATTATGTACACTATTTATATTATTCGGACTATTGTCCTCATCTTTGTCGCCATATTTATCACAACGTTTCAGCCTTTCAGTATCTAATATTTCTGAGATGAGGTATTATGTACACTATTTTTATTATTCGGACTATATTTTTATATATGTACACTATTTATATTATTCGGACTATTGTCCTCATCTTTGTCGCCATATTTATCACAACGTTTCAGCCTTTCAGTATCTAATATTTTCTGAGATGAGGTATTATGTACACTATTTTTTATTATTCGGACTATATTTTTTATTATGTACACTATTTATATTATTCGGACTATTGTCCTCATCTTTGTCGCCATATTTATCACAACGTTTCAGCCTTTCAGTATCTAATATTTCTGAGATGAGGTATTATGTACACTATTTATATTATTCGAACTATTTATATCATTCGGACTATATTTTTATATTATGTACACTATTTATATTATTCGGACTATTGTCCTCATCTTTGTCGCCATATTTATCACAACGTTTCAGCCTTTCAGTATCTAATATTTCTGAGATGAGGTATTATGTACACTATTTATATTATTCGGACTATTTATATTATTCGGACTATATTTTTATATTATGTACACTATTTATATTATTCGGACTATTGTCCTCATCTTTGTCATCATACTTATCACAACGTTTCAGGCTTTCAGTATCTAATATTTCTGAGATGAGGTATTACTTGTACACTATTTATATTATTCGGACTATATTTTTATATTATATTACACTATTTATATTATTCGGACTATTGTCCTCATCTTTGTCGCCATATTTATCACAACGTTTCAGCCTTTCAGTATCTAATATTTCTGAGATGAGGTATTATGTACACTATTTTATTATTCGGACTATATTTTTATATTATGTACACTATTTATATTATTCGGACTATTGTCCTCATCTTTGTCGCCATATTTATCACAACGTTTCAGCCTTTCAGTATCTAATATTTCTGAGATGAGGTATTATGTACACTATTTTTATTATTCGGACTATATTTTTATATTATGTACACTATTTATATTATTCGGACTATTGTCCTCATCTTTGTCGCCATATTTATCACAACGTTTCAGCCTTTCAGTATCTAATATTTCTGAGATGAGGTATTATGTACACTATTTATATTATTCGAACTATTTATATCATTCGGACTATATTTTTATATTATGTACACTATTTATATTATTCGGACTATTGTCCTCATCTTTGTCGCCATATTTATCACAACGTTTCAGCCTTTCAGTATCTAATATTTCTGAGATGAGGTATTATGTACACTATTTATATTATTCGGACTATTTATATTATTCGGACTATATTTTTATATTATGTACACTATTTATATTATTCGGACTATTGTCCTCATCTTTGTCGCCATACTTATCACAACGTTTCAGGCTTTCAGTATCTAATATTTCTAATATTTCTGAGATGAGGTACTATGTACACTATTTATATTATTCGGACTATATTTTTATATTATGTACACTATTTATATTATTCGGACTATTGTCCTCATCTTTTTGCCATATTTATCACAACGTTTCGGCCGTTGTACGCTCCGGCCTTCTTCAGTTGGTTGGAATGTCGAACTGAACCCTTTATTTCGCTCGCTGGGGGTAGACTGTTCTAGTTCCACGTGCCATGTCTAATGGATATCAGTTATCTCTTGTTAATTCTTTGCTCCAAGTTCTCCACCGCCTTAACCAGGTATTGAACTCACAACTCTTTACGTCATGTCACTGGATCTAACCAACGCTTTTATCCACTGCGCTATGTGTATGAATTTCTGATTTAATTATAAAGTCAATGCCATCAGCAACAATTGGAGAACTATAACGGCTTCCGTTCGACATTCCAACCACCTGAAGAAGGCCGGAGCGTACAACGGCCGAAACGTTGTAATAAATATGGCAACAAAGATGAGGACAATAGTCCGAATAATGTAAATAGTGTACATAATACCTCATCTCAGAAATATAGACGATGGGGTTAGGTTGGTGGTAATTGTGATATGTTTGAGTTTATTAGCGAATTAGCAGGGATTATCTGAGCGGCTGGATTTGTGGGTAAAGATCTCTTTATCATATCTATCAATAACTGATCAAATCTGTTTAGTGCATGTGCAAATCTATGTTAATCTGTTTATTAATCTATTTCTCCCTCCCTCTCTTTTCCCCTGGCTTTTCTTTCTCTATCATTTCTCATTCTCTCTCTACCTCTCTTTCACTCTCTACCTCTCTTTCAACTCTATCTAATCTCTCTCTCTTTTCTTTCTCTCTTCACGCTTTTCTCTCTTTTTTCTCTCGTCTCTCTCTCTCCCTCTCTCTCTCCCTCTTTCACTTGTCTCTCTTTTCTTTCTCTCTTCTTTCTCTCTCATCTCTCTTTTCTCTCTCTTCTCTCTTTTCTCTCTCTTCTTTCTCTCTTCTCCCTATTTTCTCTCTTTTCTTTCTCTCTTCTTTCTTTCTCCTCCCTCATTTCTCTCTCTTCTTTCTCTCTCTTCTCTTACTTTTCTCTCTCTTCTCTCACTTTTCTCTCTCTTCTCTCTCTTTTCTTTCTCTCCTCTTTCGCTATCATCTCTCTCACTTTTCTCTCTTCTTACTCTCTCTTTTCTCTCTTTTCTTTCCCTCTGTCCTCTCTCTTTTCTTTCTCTTCTTTCTCTCTCTTCTCTCACTTCTCTCTCTTCTCCCTCTCTTCTTTCTCTCTCTCTTCTCTCTCTTTCCTTTCTCTCTCTTCTCTCTGTTTTTTCCTCTCTTCTCTCTAGTTTCTTTCTCTCTTCTTTCTCTCTCTTCTCCCTCTCTTCTTTCTCTCTCTTCTCTCTCTTTTCTTTCTCTCTTCCTTCTCTCTCTTCTCTAACTTCTCTCTCTTCTCCCTCTCTTCTTTCTCTCTCTTCTCTCTCTTTTCTTTCTCTCTTCCTTCTCTCTCTTCTCTAACTTCTCTCTCTTCTCCCTCTCTTCTTTCTCTCTCTTCTCTCTCTTTTCTTTCTCTCTTCCTTCTCTCTCTTCTCTAACTTCTCTCTCTTCTCCCTCTCTTCTTTCACACTCTTCTCTCTTTTCTTTCTCTCTTCCTTCTCTCTCTCTTCTCTCTCTTTTCTTTCTCTCCTCTTTCGCTATCATCTCTCTCTCTTTTCTCTCTTCTTACTCTCTCTTTTCTCTCTTTTCTTTCCCTCTGTCCTCTCTCTTTTCTTTCTCTTCCTTCTCTCTCTTCTCTCACTTCTCTCTCTTCTCCCTCTCTTCTTTCTCTCTCTTTTCTCTCTCTTTTCTTTCTCTCTTCCTTCTCTCTCTTCTCTCCCTTCTCTCTCTTCTCCCTCTCTTCTTTCTCTCTCTTCTCTCTTTTCTTTCTCTCTCTTTTCTTTCTCTCTCTTCTCCCTCTCTTCTCCCTCTCTTCTTTCTCTCTCTTCTCTCTTTTCTTTCTCTCTCTTTTCTTTCTCTCTCTTCTCCCTCTCTTCTCCCTCTCTTCTTTCTCTCTCTTCTCTCTCTTTTCTTTCTTTCTTCCTTCTCTCTCTTTTTTCTCTCTTCTCTCTCTTTTCTTTCCTCTTCTTTCCCTCTCTTCTCTCTCTTTTCTTTCTCTTTTCTTTCTCTCTCTTCTCTCTCTTTTCTTTCTGTCTTCTTTCTCTCTCTTCTCTCTTTTTTCTTTCTTCTTTCTCTCTCTTCTCACTCTCTTCTTTCTCTCTCTCTCTCTCTCTCTTTTCTCTCTCTTCTCTTTCTCTCTTCTTTCCCTCTCTTCTCTCTCTTTTCTCTCTCTTTTCTTTCTCTCTCTTTTCTTTCTAGGTAAACGTTATTACATGTTTCGCATTTATTTTTCCTTCATCGGATTTCTTTTCCGGATTTCGAATTCTGTGCAATTAGTTTCCATTGGTCAGCTTGATTTTCACGTGTTTATATCTTGTATCCATGTGTGTGTATATTTGTTTATTTGATTTTTTTTTTTTTACTGCTTATCAACCTTTCTTGAGGAAATGTATGCTTATTGACATAGCAGCACCATGTGAGGGAAGCACATCCATGCAAATTATCGAGAAATTGTCCAAATACAAGGACATGGTGATCGAGATTAACAGGATTTGAGGAATAAAGACTGAGACTGTACCAATAGTAATCGGAGCACTGGGCCTTCCGAAAAAAAAAACAAAAAAAAGTGCAAACGAATGGGTGGAAAAAATTCCTGGTACCCTGAAATATATAAATTGCCAAAAAAAATCATGGTTACTTGTTATATTTTGCATGCAATGAGCCCAATTACACATTGTTCTCTCCCAGATTGCACGCATGGAACCTTATGAATTTTCCACCAATTTTCCATGAAGTTGAATGATTATGTTCAATCTCTTGGGAGTCGGGGCGTGGTGGGGGGTCAGTGTGTCATTGAGACAATTTTTTCTCCATAGATAAATATATAGAGAGATATGATAGATAGATAGATAGATAGATAGATAGATAGATAGATAGATAGATCAGACTGAGATAGATAGATAGATAGATAGATCAAAACAGACTAGAGTAGATAGATAGATACATAGATAGATCAGACTGAGATAGATAGATAGATAGATAGATAGATAGATAGATAGATCAGAATAGACTAAGATAGATAGATAGATAGATAGATCAGAACAGACTGAGATAGATAGATAGATAGATAGATAGATAGATAGATACGAACAGACTGAGATAGATAGATAGATAGATAGATAGATAGATAGATAGATAGATAGATAGATATGAACAGACTGAGATAGATAGATAGATACGAACAGACTGAGATAGATAGATAGATAGATAGATAGATAGATAGATAGATACGAACAGACTGAGATAGATACGAACAGACTGAGATAGATACGAACAGACTGAGATAGATAGATAGATAGATAGATAGATAGATAGATATGAACAGATTGAGATAGATAGATAGATATGAACAGATTGAGATAGATAGATAGATAGATAGATAGATAGATAGATAGATAGATAGATAGATAGATAGATATGAACAGATTGAGATAGATAGATAGATAGATAGATAGATAGATAGATAGATAGATAGATAGATAGATAGATAGATAGATATGAATAAACCGTGAGAGATAGATAGATAGATAGATAGATAGATAGATAGATAGATAGATAGATAGATAATCCCACATATGCCGATCTCAGGTCAAATATTTGGATCGTACTTTTGATGACACAAGCCGTCCATCCCTTGAAAATAGCAAGACGGGAGATGCCAGCTTCATCAAAAACATTCTCCATTTCTTGTATATTATTTGCCCCGTTGAAAGCTTGTTCTAAAAATTTGCAGGGTTATTTTGTGGTCACCCGTTTGCGCATCAAATTGCCCCTATTGTACTGGGATTGGATTCCAGGATTTTCGTTTTTTTTTTTTAGGTAGCCAATATCGCCGTCGTCAGAAGCTGGGGATTTTTTTTTTTTGTTTTTTTTCTTTTAACAAAGAGCTTCGGCGAATATTCTTTCACGACTCAATAATGATTCGCGCCGTCAGATAATTAGCCACTTCATTTTTCTATGAATTTCGACAACTCGATCGAAATGAAATCAACGGTTATTATCAATATTTCTCGGTGGAACATCAAGAGAACTAATTAAGGAAACGTCGGAGAAAGAACGGAAAGGAAAAAGACATGAATTCACTCCCGACTCAGATCGATTTTTGACAACGTATTTTTGAAACGCTAATCTCGACTTTTTTTTTCTTTTTTTTTTACGACAGGGGCATAAAAACAGACAACTATACCTGCATCTCACTTGTATTGTTCGCCCCGAAATTTCTCCAGCAGCAGGACCATCACCACCACGTCCATCAAACCGACCTCCCCCCCCCCGACACGCTTCTGTTTTCTATGTTTAACCATTCATCAAATGAATTAGATGAAGGAGACCCGGTAACAGGCTTAGATCTTTTAGCATTTCTCAGGGCAAACACGAATAACGATGGCCGGTAATGAAGACATCTGACCTGCTGGCTCGACCCTGTCTCGTGTCTGCTTCACAGATGCCCTCTGACACCGAAGTCTTTATCAAAAGATGGATAAAATGCCAGATGAGAACGAAGCAGACACAGATGCGACGTACGTGTGTCTGTGTATGTCGTTTTTGTCTGTCGCGCGAGCGCGCACGCGCGTGTGTTCATGTGTGTGTGTGTGTGCGCGCGCGTGAGTAGTGGAAGAGTAAGGAAAAGAAGGAGAGTAAGGAAAAGAAGGAGAGTAAGGAAAAGAAGGAGAGTAAGGAAAAGAGGAATATTGCGGGAAAAGAGCCGGGGAAAATGAGGGGGAATGTAGGGAAAAGAAAATAAGGGGGAGGAGTTAAGATAGAACCGAAGATAGATAGATAGATAGATAGATAGATATGAATAGGCCGTGATAGATAGATAGATAGATAGATAGATAGATAGATAGATAGATAGATACGAACAGACTGAGATAGATAGATAGATAGATAGATACGAACAGACTGAGATAGATAGATAGATAGATAGATAGATAGATAGATAGATAGATGGTATTTATCAATCCACCCACGGGGACCGAATGTGGCACAAGGCCTTTTTAATGTGGGTATGTCTGAGCCCGTAGGCCCAGCCAAAAATAAACCCATCTAAACCCGTCCAAGCGGGCTAGTTCTGTCAACCTCCCCTGAACGAAACCCCACCTTCGGCGGAGCTTCTGTCCGGGTTCCTCTGCAAGCAGAGAGTTCGACAGACACCCGACCTGGCAGCTCACAAAGCGCAGATACTACACTTTGATCCTAGCCACCGAGCCGAGCGGGTATTCTTTTTTATAGATAGATAGATAGATACGAACAGACTGAGATAGATAGATAGATACGAACAGACTGAGATAGATAGATACGAACAGACTGAGATAGATAGATAGATAGATAGATAGATAGATAGATAGATAGATAGATAGATAGTGAACAAATACATAGATATGAATATACTAAGATAGGTAAATTGTTAGATCGATAGATAATGAAGAAAGTCAGATAGATAGATAGATAGATAGATAGATAGATAGATAGATAGATAGATACGAACAGACTGAGAGATAGATAGATAGATAGATAGATAGATAGATAGATAGATAGATAGATAGATCAGAACAGACTGAGATAGATAGATAGATAGATAGATAGATAGATAGATAGATAGATAGATAGAATGACAAAACAAAATGAAAGGCAAGAACTACGTTTGAAATATTAATAACAATGCGATTGCGTCATCTGATACACAAGGCCGCTTCAATCGCCTGTTACTACCACTACAACCACTACTACTACTACTATTGCTAACTTGGTAGAAACAAACAACAAAACTAAATTTACTGACCATGTAAGCGAAATAAGTTTTTAAAAAAATCTACATACATAATATAGAAAGGATATCTTTATTATCACGTGACCTTGCTCTCAAAAGCCGTTTTCAAATGAAGGCCCCACCAGTCGATTTCAATCTTCCAGCTTCCAGAAGAATACCAAGATATAGAAGGAGTTCTAACTACCGCGTAGACACCAACGTAACAAATTATGAACTTGCTGTCGAGCGATTCTCTTAATTATGCCGCGAAATATTGTCACGGCATACATATATCTATATCTATAAAACAGATGATGTCTGTGTGTCTGTCTGTGATACCTTTTCACTCGGGATCCCTGCAACCGATTTTGACCAAAAACTTGGCACCCACATTGTACAATGTAAGAGATGGGTTCTTAGCTTTAAAAAATCGATAATTCTTTTAAAAATCAATAACCCGATCAAAAATTGATAAATCCAACTTTTTTCCTCCGATTTTGTTCAAACTCGGTATGTAGGTTACTTACATCATGAAGAGGTCAAAGATACCTCATTTTTTTTTATTTCTACGCCATTGCGTTTAGCGAAAAACTGCGAAAAATGAAAAATTGATTTTAACACAAATTTTAAATTTAAAAACTCCCTCAATTTTCAAGCAATCTAATACAAACTTCACTCAATTGTCGCCAACAATAAGTTGATTGTTTAATAGTCATTTAACTTGATAACTGAGTCCACCCATATAGTGAAAAACCGCGTAAATAGCGAAAAATGGCGATTTTTACAAGTTTCATTCTTATTTTTTATTGATCTTTCAACAAATTTTCATCGAATTTAACAATTGCATTATAAATGTATCCTCTTTTACATCCCTGGTAGCACATTGACAAATTGAATTTTAAAAACTCCAAAATAATTGAGGTATGAAATGGGTTTTAATATTGCGTGTTTTATCCCTTCATGTCCTCGGCTAACTTGGGTTGAATAAATACAGACGACTTCTGTTATATCAGTAATTTCAATAATTCAAAATGTTTTTTTAATGAAAGTATTTTAAAGTAATTGAAGAAGATAGACTCTGTTACATCTAAACATGATGCTGTTTTTGCTCCATTCTAATTGAACGCTTTTTCTTTTCAACTGGACATAGCTGCATATATAGCTGCGTATATTTTGTGTTTATACGTTATTTTTATAGATACAATTTATTTAAGTAAATGCTCTGTTTTTTGGTGTGTGTGTGTGTGTGTTTTTTTTTTTTTTTTTAAATAAACCGTATTAATTACATTTACCGGCCTGAATGTACGAGAAATTTCGTAGAAAATGTGTGTTCTCCAACAGGAATCAAACCAGACGCTTTCTCTGTAGCTGAGTAGTATAGCACGTCAGATGAAACGACGGTTCCGTATAGGACACAGGTTCGATTCCTGTAGGAGAAGGCATTCTACAAATTTTCTCGAACATTCAGGTCGGTAAATGTAACTAATACATTTTATTTTAAAAAAAAACAGAACATTTACTTAAATAAATTGCAGCTATTAAAAAATAACGTATAAAACATGAAATATACATACATATATATATATATATATATATATATATATATATATATATATATATATATATATATATATGTATGCCGTGTCAGTATACCTTCTGTTTATGCAGTTATTTTATAGATACAATTTATTAAATTAAACAGTTTAATTAAACAGTATAAATTACAGTTACCTACCTGAACATTTGTGAAATATCGTAGGAAAATATTGTTTAATTAAAAACAGAATATTTAGTTAAATAAATTGCATCTATTACAAATAAAATGTTGAGAAGCACTGGAAAGAATAATGAAATCCTCAAAAAGAAAAAAAAAAGGAAAAACACATCAGCAACTATATATGGTTTCACCCTACTACGTTAATATTTGGATATCTTGAATTTGAAACGATGTCCCAGATTATGTCAAGTCACTGTATGAATCTACTAACACTATATAACCCAATACTTCCTGCTGCATGGTCGGGTCATCTGTGACTAAAACCGGTCTCCTCATCAGGTTTTCTAGTAAGGAGGGTAGCTAAACATGCAGTAGTACTTTGAAACGAGTGGATGAATCTACTTGTAGAGTCAACGACCGTCTAGCACAATGGGGTAAACTGGGCTCCATAGCAATGGATGTAGCCAGTACTGTGACGAGACGGCATCGGCGGTCGGAACTCAACTGTCAGGACAAAGAGTCTCCCCTATAGAATCAACGTCCACTTGTAGATGATGGAGGTGAGCCTTCAAAATGGAGGAGACTGATTGTGGCTTGACCTTTTAAGGGGTGGGATTAGCCAGGTCTACTTGTCCAAGACTAGCTACGCATGAATGAAAGCAAACCTTTGAAAACACAGTTCAATTATATTTTGAATTTCGTTGCTTTATAAGACTACGTTTTTAAATATGTTGACTTAATTTGGTCTACCTTCTATCAGGTTACACTACGAGTGCAACTGTTAACATATAACTCGGTAATGCTTGCTGTATGGTCGGGTAATCGGCGATTAAACTGGATCCCCTACCAGGCATTTCCGTTGAGGAAGATGGCGAGAGACCCAGCAGTCGTGATATTTTGATTTTCTCCTAGGTGTGCCGTTAGAAGCACTTGAAAGAAGAAGGAAAGCCTCAAAAAGAAAAAAAAAAAGAAAAACACATCAGCAACTATATATGCTTACACCCTACTACTTTAATATTTGGATATCTTGAATTTGAAACGATGTCCCAGATTATGTCAAGTCTCCGTATGAGTCTACTAACACTGTACAGAAAAGCTACGCTTGTAGA